GGAAAAAAATTTCACTTTGAATTTGTTTTTTTGCGGTGAATATTGAAGCGTGACATGTTGTTACTTCACTGATTCATTAAAATTGGGAACAATAAAAATAATAATTGAAAATAATTACGTTTACCTTCTTCTCTCACTCAAACACTCCGCGTTGTTGTTATTAAAACGAACAAAATAATACTGTGTGCATATTATTCCAAAAAAACAAAAATTGATGCTATGTTAAAAAATATATAAATATAACGATAATAACAAAAAACAAAACATCAACTACAATCAATTGTGGGGCGTCAAAATATTACAAAGAAGAAGATAAAACAGGAGAGACAAAAATATTGATAAATATAATAAAAAGTAACAATGGTGATAGCAGTGTGAATACAAATAAATGGTAATTGAAAATAATATTCATTCACTTATCGAGTAACAAATACGTTGTCAGATTATTAACAGTAAAAGAAAGTGTAAAGCTCTAAAAAAGGAACACACAGAAAATATTAAAGAAAATAATAAATGAGTAAATTATTATTATTGAGGAACAATTATAGACAATGCTGCTATAGTCGACGTACCAGTCGACCAGGTAATAATACCCTACACCACTATTTTAACTTATTCTTAAATTACTTATTTTATTATATTGATTGATTGATTATTTGCTTATATAATTTCACAAGACGTCGTTGTTGCATCATAATAAAAGTCAGCAACCCTCAGCCTATGTTCTGTGTAGGTCTACTAAATTACACACAGGTTATTATTCGCTATATAAGGTATAGAAACATATACCACCTGTGGTGAGATACCAGAAGATGTTGCCCAATAGATCCAATTTTCGGATTAAAGTAGGTTTCGTGAAATATTCCGAATTGACCAAATTGGTTATTTAATTCGCTTCGAATTACAATTACATATTGTTAAAATGTTGACCATTTGTGCGAGAAATACCAGAACGAGTGGACCGATGGTTTTTTAATGCTCAAATCAGACATTAAAATAACTTGATATTGAATTAACAAGTTTTGAAATTTTGGCCATTTTTGGACCATATATATATATATATATATGGATGCTATATCTAAATATGTCACAAGTTAGGGTATACTAATTTTAGTACGTTTTATTCCTATTGGTCATATTTTGGGTCCTTGGTGCATCGTTTACTTAAAATCTGACAAATATATATATATATATATATATGGAAACTATATCCAAATCTGAACCGATTTCTGCGCAAAATTCTGTGCCAATCGGTCTAACTTTGGGTTTTTGGTGCACCATTTACTCAAAATCGGACGATACTGTATATGGGAGCTACATCTAAATCTGAACCGATTTCAACAAATCTGGACCTAATTCAGTATGCTGTGCAAAATTTTGTGTCAATCGGACAACTATTGTGAGTTTGGTGCATCATTCACATAAAATCGGACGAAACTATATATGGGAGCTATACTAAATCTGAACCGATTTTAACAAAATTTCACATACATCAATCTGGACCTAATTCAGTACCCTGTGTAAATTTTTGAGTCAATCGGACTAATTTTGGGTCTTTGGTGCACCATTTACCTAAAATCGGTCGAAAATATATATGGGAACTATATGTAAATCTGAATCGATTTTCCCAATTTCAATAGGGTTATTACAGCAAATTCGGTAACAAAAATGCTTTCAAAACATTAAAATACCGAAATTTTGGAAGATATCCGGAGAGATTTTGTACCTAATAAAACTCCAATGTGCTGAATTGCAGCGAATTCGGTCGAAAAACGAGCAAAAAGCACCAAATAAATTTTTGGTTCCGATACCGATTTCATCATCTCTGAACGCCGCACATTCCTTAGCCATAGGAAAGCCAACTTGCAAGGATTCAGTGAGTTCACCAACCAGCGCTTCAGACAACATTCCATTCCTTCTGGCAGCAGAAAGGAAATTCCGAGGCATTTATACCTGCTGGTCGAATACACGAAATGAGAGCCAATTTCCCAGCAGAAGCAGTTGGTTTAGCAAATGAGCGTGATGAGCTTCGTCGATCTAACCCAGCAGATCCCAGGGCCAGGGAACTTACGTTGGAGGTCAGAAGATTAGTCGCGGAGCATAAGAGGAATAAATGGTTGGAGAACCTGAAGAGTTCCAACATTGGTACCGAAGTAAGTAAACTGGTATGAAGGATGATCACATTTTACGACGAAAGTGTGACTGATACGAAGAGATGCGCGAGTTATTTTAACCGACAGTTTGTCGAGTATCCGAGAGCGACAGGGCGAAGAGAAGAGTACTTCGTCGTATAAGATCTCTTCCAGCCGAGGATGTACCACCACAGTTCACAATGGGCGATGTTGCATGTGTAACGCGAGGTCATCCAAAGCGTCGGGCCCTGACGGAATACCCATGTATATGCTGAAGCAGCTGGACGAGCCCGGAGTCGAGTACTTGATCATCGTCCTCAACTTGTCGATAGCCACCTACGTCGTTCCCGAAGCCTTTCTGGTATTCCACGCCCTCCGGACGGCATAGAATCGTTGTTGTTTATGATATGATGAATTTTAATAAAAATCTAAAATTTTGTACTTAAAATCATATGAAGGCGCAGAGTTTAGAAAAAAAAGCAATTCTTATTTTAACCCTCGGACAGTTTTGTCTGTCTTTCAGCAAAAACAAAGACATCAATTGTAACGGTACAAAGGATAACCGAAAAATTGCAAAGGAAGAGAGTAATTTTAAATGTCGAATATATTCGACAAAAACACTGAAAGGGTTAAGCTTTTAGTGTAGTCCATGTAAAAAAGTTTTTGGAATCGCTCATGGCCCTTTGGGCTAGGTTCTCGTTTGAATTGAATTGACATATTCAGATGATTGTACGATCATGGCGTCGGGTCCCATTGTTGAGGACATATGTGTGAGGTTAAACGCCTCTCTCGTCGAATTAGCAGCCTTCTTTAAGGCGAGGTATGAAAATATCCGCCACGAAGTCATCAGCCACATTATTCACCACATGGACTGCGGAGATGAGAATGCCTTTGAATTTGCGTACAATTCCGACCACCAACTACCCCAAATTACTCGCGGTCACATTCGACAGTATAAACATACTCGTCTGTGAACATTAGTGATACGCAATGGAAAATTATTCAAACCTGTCAGAACGCCGGCTGAAACTGCGACAGGTTGCCCCCTCACGACACCAGTGGACCATCTTCATGAGTTGGCCTACTGATGCAGTAGCTGCAGCGCTGAACGCATACAGATTGAATGCCGTCCTCGGAGCTCGCCGAATTTAAACATGAAAACTATATCCATATAAACTTCTACAACAACAACAAAGTTTGAAGTACCGTTATATGGAGGCTACCCGAAAAAGATGGCCGATATTGATACGTTTAGTGTGGAGATTTAGTACACAATAAGAGCACAAAGTGCCAAACTTCAACAACTTCAAAATTCATTAGTCTTTGCTGGTTGCAGGATATACAATCCTCATGAGAATGATCAAGATGACAAGCTTGTTCAATGTGGGCACAGTCGACAAAATTCATCAGATTTACTACGATAAAGGAGTTATTGAATAGCTAGAGGAATGCGGATCCAAAACCTCAAAACAAAGCCAATAATTGCACGGCCTAGAGCCATGTAAAGTAATGATGAGAACTATAGGCGTCTTATATGACAAGATGTCAATTGTTTGGCAGATATGACGTCTTATTGTAAGTCATTCTATATTTAATTTCTTGTACCATCTAGTGGTGTAGAGTACATAAAAAATGATTCTATTTTAAAGCATAACAGGTGTAGAACACATAAAATTATTATTAACAAAATGAGAGAAAAAAAACAACGAAAAAAATGCAATGCGAGACAGTAAGAAAACACAATATGTGAATTATGAACATTTAAAAATAATTGTAATAGTTGTAGTGTTGAAAAAATTGTGTATTAAAACAAATTGTATTTGGCCAATAAATATTGATTTAGATTTAGTTAGTTAGCGCACCCTTTTGTTGTGTCAAATTCGGAGCAACACTAAAACTTTTTGCCAAACGCCTTTGTAGCGGTGGTGTTGGTGAATGTGGCAAATTGTGTTGCTGATGATAATGATACTGCTGTTGATGTTGTTGTTGCTGTTGATCATGACCACTACTGGCCGAGGGTAAACCAAATGATATCGAGCCCAATACTCCAGCCGATTGACTACCACTAGCCGGTGGTATAGATGAATTAGTTTGGGCAACATTAGCGGCCAATGCCGTACTCAAGGTCAGGGCAGATGGTTGTACATTATTGTTACTGCTGCTGTTGTTGTTGCTGTTATTATTATTGTTGTTGTTATTCATAGCAGCAGCAGCAGCTGTACCATGATTATGATAATGATGACCCATTAAAGCATTTAGAGCCGAACTAGCTGGACCACTTATGAAATTGTGTAAATGTGATTGTGTCGACGAATGTTGTTGCTGTTGCTGATGATGTTGATTCGAATTCGCCGCCGAATTATTATTTGTATTTTGTTGATTTGTAGCAGAGCTATTGCTACCGCTATTCAAATGTATACTTATACTGCCATGATGATGAAAAAAACTATGATGGTGATGATGTTGGTGATGATTACCACCACCGGTGGTGTTATTACCACCACTGCTCGTAGCTGTGGCTTCATTTAATGCAGAACGTATATCCATTAGATTTGTAATGCCATCATCGCCTGAACGTTGTGGCGCTACATAAATACCTAGGTTTTTTGGTTTGGTTTGTTGTTGGTAAGACGGGGTTTTTTTTAAAGGAATTTCGGTATAGTTTTGGGTGTAATATAAAGTTTTGTTTAGGAAAATGAAAAAGGTGCAAGATAAATAGTAAAGAAGGGGAAAAAGAAGTGATATAGAGAGATGATGAAAAAAACGTATATTTAATGTTATACCATTAGATAAAAATACGCATATATTGTACCTACCCAATAGCATAAAAGGCAAAATTAAGAAAGGTTATTGATTTTGAGGTGAATTAAAAAGAACCATTCATATCCCAATATTGTGGCTTTGGGCTAAATTAGGGAAATTGTCTTAAATTCAGATTCAACATTCAGAACATACAATTTAAATCCGCAATGCATATGTCAAACCTCGACGGAGTAATATCGGCATAAGAAAGGACTTCCGAAATAATTCCACGCCGAAAATTTTAGGTAGTTTGCTACATCCTAGGAGCAATTTCAGAGGTTAAAATCCCCCCAATATTAGGAATATTCTAGCCGCATTTACTTTCCCAAGTGTCTCTAATTTGTTACTTTGGTACCAAAGAATAAAATATCTACTGGTAGAAACTTACCAATATAGGTGCAAAGAATTTTTTCAGGGGTTATAAGAGGCGTGGATTTTGCAAAGAAATTTTTTCAAGAGCTAAATATGTTGTTGCTTTATTTTTTCAGAGCCTAAAATATATTTTTTCAAAGTCTATAAGATGCGTTGATTTTTCATAGCCTAAAAAAGGCGCGGCTTTTATAAAAAAGGCCTAAAGAAAGGGTGGATTTTTCAAAGAATATTTTTTTAAGCTACTTTTGTAAACAGCGCGAGGGGAAGTGATAGACAAAACTGGTATGGGCGATAAACACCTTTCATCCTTTCAAATCTTCTGGGCCAGACGACATAATAACCACGATGCTGCAGAATGCAGCGCCAGAGGTCTTTAACGTCATAAAGGAGATTTTTAAGGCTTCATTAAGATTATCCTTCATTAAGATTATCCTAGTACCTAGTTTAACAGAAGTTGATGCTTCTGTTAAACCCCCTCTCAGCTATTACATAGGTAGTATCCATAAGATATTTTTTTCAAAAGAACAAATTTCCATTTGTTCTACAGAAAAAATAGCATTTTTTCCTATGAAAAAATTCGTTGGTTCCTCAGGATGATTTTTTTTCCTAAAAAAAATTCATTGGTCCTCCAGGACGATTGGTCCCTAGGACCATTTTTTTTATAAAAAAATCTTTGTTCCCTTATGACCATTTTTTATAGAAAAATCAAATCAAAACCGAAGCATGAAAACTGAATTAGGTTTCAGACAGGGATCAAGGAAAGGTTTTAGACTTTCGACAAGATTCCGTGCTTAGTCCTTCAGGACCACTTTTTTCTATAAAAAAAACCGAAAAAAACAAAAAAAAAATCGTTAGTCCCCTAGAACCACCTTGTTCTATAGAAAAAAAATCGTAGTTCCTTAGGACCATTTTTTTCTAGAGGAAAAATATCGTTGTTGCCTTAGGATCATTTTTTCTTATAGAAAAAAATTCATTGGTCCCCTAAAACCATTTTTTCAATAGAAAATATCGAAAAAATTCATTGATCCCTTAGGATCAAATCAAAACCGAAAACTGAAAGCTGATCTATGGTTATGACAGGGATCAAGGAAGGGTTGTAGATTCTGCGCTTGGTGGTAACTTCAATGTGGTTCCTACTCATCTATAAGGATGGAAAATACTGAAGAAAAATCACAACTGAAGAATTTCAGCTACCGAGACAGACATGATAGTTTTGTGTTCGGAACGGTGCTGTAGTAGTGAGTATAAGTCCATTTCTATGGGTCCGAAATAGTCACATTTCTTAATCTGTAGATTGGGCCAGATATACAGGGTGTTATCCATTTCGTGGTTTCAAGAATATGAGACTGGAACTCGTTATATGTCAAACTATGCTTTTATTTCGTCTGATATTAACAAAAATGCGATTTGCCATTATTCGACTTTCTTTTTTGTCTACAAGAAAGACCATGTTTATGCAGATACAACTTCCTCCAAGTTATGGCTGAGATACCGCCCAATATGTGTCAAAATATGGTCCAAAATTGCATCAAAAGTCATTTAAGGAATCATAGTTTCAAATCCTTTCACACAAAATCGACATCAAAAAGCGTTGTGTAGCAAAATGGATTTACAACTCTTCCATCCTTAATTTTGCCTTTTAATAGAAAACAAAAATTTAACTTGTAAAAAATCTTAACAATAAAATATTCTCTTAACAATCTAAATAACTATAAATACGAATTACAGTAAAAAATATAATTTTCTTTTACTTCTCGAGATTATTTGGAAAACTATACAATAACAACTAATTAAATATATGTATGTATTTACAAACTAGACCATAAACCATTCTAAAAAAATCGAATTGCCCTAAATTACACATTAAACTCAATTGTCGCCTTCCACAACAAAACAATTTGTAGAAACTAAGGAAGAAAACAAATGTTGGAAAAAAATAACTTACCTAAGAAAGCATCAACTTGATTTGATATACCCTTTATGGCTTTAAGGAATATCAAAGGAAGTGCTTGCAGGCAGGGATGTTGATAGGTTTCGGCACCTTTATCGTGCGTCAGAGCCCATTGTACAAAATGTGATGATTTACTTATAATGTGTGGTGAACATAATGCTATGGGATTACCAATGGTACGTAAGAAACGATACCATGTTTGGGCCACACAATCATTGGTCATTCCCAGGGGAATTAATTGGGCATCTTCGTCAGCTGAAATAGATAATAAACATATTTTTTTAATTTTTTTAAATTATGAAAAGATAACGAATTACTCACAAATTTTCAATTCCGGAAATGCTGGACCATAGGTGAATTCCAACAGCCTTGCTGTTAATGCCATATTCACACGATTCCATTGGTCGACCAAAGCCACACGATGTCGCCACATTGCACACGACTCTTGTAGGGTTTTCCACAACGATGGTGAGGGGAAACAACGTACACATGCCAATAACCATACTTCGAATAGGACTTGCAACAGCCTCTCACACAATTGATCGCCAACATCATCTTTAATTGTGGGTGGTGCCAGCAATGTCTCATTTATTGCCAAGAGGAAGAGCAACAATGATTCCCATGTCTCTCTATCCATAGTTTGGGATATTTGTGCAGTTTGTTGTAGTGTACGCAGGACACGATGACACAACACCGCTTGACGACTCATTGTATCAACACCTTTAAAATTTAATGAAAAATAATTCAATTAATTATTTATATTTTTTATAAAAGAGAAAACTGAAAATAAATTAAAAACGATTTACTAGCAGCATTGCAACACCTACCAAGCTCTTTTTGATAAATAAATGGTAAGACTTGAAAGGAAAATGAGTGGAAAAACAGTGTTAAGTGTTATATATACGAGAGATATATTGTGATTATATGATATAAAAAATTTGTTCTCAATTACTATTTGCCGAGCTGTTGCTACATCAGGGGAATTATATTACAGAGTGTATCTATGGAGTTTTAGAATTGCTAATGTCAATATACTTACTTTCACCCTGGCGAGGCACAAACAAATTATGAAAATGATTTATGATTTTACGACAATACATATTAGCATCTTCACATATTGGTTTGGGTACACTTATTTTAGGTTGCGGATGCAACGCAGTCATCCATTCACAATAGATGTTGACACAATCTTTGATTGTTTCATGCTCCTGCAGTGGCAATGAGAGGCCAAAACATATTACATCCATACACCAATTGACCTGGAATAAAAAAAAAAATATTTAGAAAGAATTTTAAAAACAATACAAGAGATAATAGAACCATCTAAAATATGAGTAAATTCTAGAAATTGTAATGGTCATCTACCACAAGCGCTATTTTTGTAAACTAACGGTATTTTACTCTAAGACCTAATTACGTTTTTTATGTGATCTTATTTTCTATGTAAGTACTTAGTGACTCTCTACAAGATGAGTTAGTGACCTTTTATGAGAAGAAATAATGGGCTTCTTTGAGAAGACCTAATAGTCTTACATGAGAAGATCTTAAAGGACTTCTATGATAAGACCTATTGATGTTCTCCGAGAATACCTAATGATCTTCTAATGGGACTCTATGTCTGTAAGTTAGAAAACCTCATCCCTAAAAAATATATGTGCTTTTGTTTTATGTTTTTGTTCTAACAGATGGCAGGACAGAAGGAACTGTCTGGCAAGCAACACATTATGTTGCTGTACTGACTCGAGCACTATTCTGGATCGTTTAAAGGTTGTGCCATTGGGTGTCACTTAGGAATGAAGTCCAAACGTGGCTGGCATAGCTCAGTACAGAGAGACAAATGGCTTTGTACGTCATGATGAGAGTCTCTTTATCCTTTCCCCAGGAGGAGGTATCTGTCAGAGCTTTTAGGACCTTATTTTTGCTGAGGACTTTACCTTTGACATAAGCAGCGTGCTTGGTGAAATTGAGCAGATTATCAGAAACTACTCCCAGTACTTAGGGATGTTGAACTGTCAGATTTCTTTGGTCATCGGCTATGGTTCCAAGGGTACTGTGATTTTTTTTTTTCTGTAGAAAAAATGGTCCTAAGGGACCTGCGAAATTTTTTCTATAGAAAAGAAGGTCCTAGGCTAGATGAAAAAATAAAAAAAAAAAAATATCTAACTCACTCTTTACTTCATGTGCGCTTACGTCATGTTTGTCGACTCCGAACGACATGATGTGCGTGAAGATAAAATCGATTTTAACTAGCAAAGACTCAATCCACCAAATTTAGCAAAGACACGTATAACAGATTTCAGTTCAGTATAACAGATGTTAAAATCGTTTTTATAACAATTCAATGACCAATTGAGCAATAAATATAAATAAAACAGGCAAAATATTGGTACTCCCGGAAAGGCAATTCCAAAAGCTATTTAAAACCGCTTTAACTGAAAAAATTAATCATGGTTTTATTGAATAAAAATAGATATTAATAAAATTTGAAAAGTTATCATCGATGCCCATTGTGCGAAATCTAAAAATGTTACCGCTATATGGAACCCGGCATTGGAAAGCCCACTAGGTGTACTTTCAGAAAATGCATATTTTATAAAAATTCATTTTGGATTTTTTTAAAAAAATTCATATTAGTAAAATTTGAAAAGTTATCATCGATGCCCATTGTGCGAAATCTAAAAATGTTACCGCACTATGGAACCCGGCATTTGAAAGCCCACTAGGTGTACTTTCAGAAAATGCATAATTCATAAAAATCCATTTTGGAAATTTTTTTAAATTAATTTTTTTTTAAAAAATTGAATAATTTTAAGGGATCAAAATTCAATGACCCACTGTGCGAAAACTAAAAATGTTACCGCTATATGGAACCCGGCATTGGAAAGCCCACTAGGTGTACTTTCAGAAAATGCATATTTTATAAAAATCCATTTTGGATTTTTTTAAAAAAATTCATATTAGTAAAATTTGAAAAGTTATCATCGATGCCCATTGTGCGAAATCTAAAAATGTTACCGCACTATGGAACCCGGCATTTGAAAGCCCACTAGGTGTACTTTCAGAAAATGCATAATTCATAAAAATCCATTTTGGAAATTTTTTTAAATTAATTTTTTTTAAAAAATTGAATAATTTTAAGGGATCAAAATTCAATGACCCACTGTGCGAAAACTAAAAATGTTACCGCTATATGGAACCCGGCATTGGAAAGCCCACTAGGTGTACTTTCAGAAAATGCATATTTTATAAAAATCCATTTTGGATTTTTTTAAAAAAATTCATATTAGTAAAATTTGAAAAGTTATCATCGATGCCCATTGTGCGAAATCTAAAAATGTTACCGCACTATGGAACCCGGCATTTGAAAGCCCACTAGGTGTACTTTCAGAAAATGCATAATTCATAAAAATCCATTTTGGAAATTTTTTTAAATTAATTTTTTTTAAAAAATTGAATAATTTTAAGGGATCAAAATTCAATGACCCACTGTGCGAAAACTAAAAATGTTACCGCTATATGGAACCCGGCATTGGAAAGCCCACTAGGTGTACTTTCAGAAAATGCATAATTCATAAAAATCCATTTTGGAAATTTTTTCCAGATTTTTTAGATTTCGCACAATGGGCATCGATGATAACTTTTCAAATTTTACTAATATGAATTTTTTTAAAAAAATCCAAAATGGATTTTTATAAAATATGCATTTTCTGAAAGTACACCTAGTGGGCTTTCCAATGCCGGGTTCCATATAGCGGTAACATTTTTAGTTTTCGCACAGTGGGTCATTGAATTTTGATCCCTTAAAATTATTCAATTTTTTAAAAAAAAATTAATTTAAAAAAAATTTCCAAAATGGATTTTTATGAATTATGCATTTTCTGAAAGTACACCTAGTGGGCTTTCAAATGCCGGGTTCCATAGTGCGGTAACATTTTTAGATTTCGCACAATGGGCATCGATGATAACTTTTCAAATTTTACTAATATGAATTTTTTTAAAAAAATCCAAAATGGATTTTTATAAAATATGCATTTTCTGAAAGTACACCTAGTGGGCTTTCCAATGCCGGGTTCCATATAGCGGTAACATTTTTAGTTTTCGCACAGTGGGTCATTGAATTTTGATCCCTTAAAATTATTCAATTTAAAAAAAAAAATAATTTAAAAAAATTTCCAAAATGGATTTTTATGAATTATGCATTTTCTGAAAGTACACCTAGTGGGCTTTCAAATGCCGGGTTCCATATAGCGGTAACATTTTTAGATTTCGCACAATGGGCATCGATGATAACTTTTCAAATTTTACTAATATGAATTTTTTTAAAAAAATCCAAAATGGATTTTTATAAAATATGCATTTTCTGAAAGTACACCTAGTGGGCTTTCCAATGCCGGGTTCCATATAGCGGTAACATTTTTAGTTTTCGCACAGTGGGTCATTGAATTTTGATCCCTTAAAATTATTCAATTTTTTAAAAAAAATTAATTTAAAAAAAATTTCCAAAATGGATTTTTATGAATTATGCATTTTCTGAAAGTACACCTAGTGGGCTTTCAAATGCCGGGTTCCATAGTGCGGTAACATTTTTAGATTTCGCACAATGGGCATCGATGATAACTTTTCAAATTTTACTAATATGAATTTTTAAAAAAATCCAAAATGGATTTTTATAAAATATGCATTTTCTGAAAGTACACCTAGTGGGCTTTCCAATGCCGGGTTCCATATAGCGGTAACATTTTTAGTTTTCGCACAGTGGGTCATTGAATTTTGATCCCTTAAAATTATTCAATTTTTAAAAAAAAATTAATTTAAAAAAATTTCCAAAATGGATTTTTATGAATTATGCATTTTCTGAAAGTACACCTAGTGGGCTTTCAAATGCCGGGTTCCATAGTGCGGTAACATTTTTAGATTTCGCACAATGGGCATCGATGATAACTTTTCAAATTTTACTAATATGAATTTTTTTAAAAAAATCCAAAATGGATTTTTATAAAATATGCATTTTCTGAAAGTACACCTAGTGGGCTTTCCAATGCCGGGTTCCATATAGCGGTAACATTTTTAGTTTTCGCACAGTGGGTCATTGAATTTTGATCCCTTAAAATTATTCAATTTTTTAAAAAAAAATTAATTTAAAAAAATTTCCAAAATGGATTTTTATGAATTATGCATTTTCTGAAAGTACACCTAGTGGGCTTTCAAATGCCGGGTTCCATAGTGCGGTAACATTTTTAGATTTCGCACAATGGGCATCGATGATAACTTTTCAAATTTTACTAATATGAATTTTTTTAAAAAAATCCAAAATGGATTTTTATAAAATATGCATTTTCTGAAAGTACACCTAGTGGGCTTTCCAATGCCGGGTTCCATATAGCGGAGATAATTAACAAGCCAACGCTTGGTCCACTGTGTCAAAAGTTTTTGATAGTTCTAACATATTTACCAAAGTCGGCGCTGCCTGTCGATTTTGGTTGAGACCATGCCTGAAATTGTGTTGTCCACTCTCTATGCGCCCGAAGTTTGTGCAGCGCCATATGTGAGACCATTTATTACATCTGTTGCACCGGACAGATGTAGTATTTCTCCTAATAATTTCGTTGCAGACCGAGCAACACCAAATGTTGCAGCGTCATTTCTGGAAGATAGAAGTTGACCAGCTGCATGCGGAGAGTTTGTGGGACAGCAGCTCGCCACAAAGTTATTTGACACCTAGGTTGAATTTCACCTGGACAAGATTGCACGTTATGCGGTTACGACACACTGAACCTCGTTGGAAGTGGGACACGGTTTATGCTCGATGCAAGCCATTATTAATAGGATATTGAGCAAATCAACTGACATGGTTTGCTCACCTGGGGGAAAAGATATGGTTCTTGAGTATACTTGACCGAGCTTTATCCGGGTCGTTTCGACCCGATCGTGGTGAGAACGGTGTTCTAGGTTGTACTCATCGCTGCAAATTTCTGGTCCTGATATGTGTTTTTGTTGTGTGTTTCAGCTATGCAACAATTATTGTTCAGTTTACGGGCAAGTCATCCGGCATTCCGTAATCCTCAAATTCATCGCCCAAAAATTGCATTGACAAAGGCACCACCAGCAGAAGTATTTGCCTTTAATTGCGAGTTGAAATAATTATTTCAGTATGACGTTTACCAGCAGAAGTATTTGCCTTTAATTGCGAGTTGAAATAATTATTTCAGTATTTTCCTTCTATGTTTGCAGCCTAGTCTAGTTCTGATTTCAGTAGAACTCAAGCTAGTATTCCAATTATATAATTTGTATGTATCTATTTGTAAAAATCGTTAGCCAACAACCGGTTGAGACTTTATTCCTCTGTAGGTGATTGGACAAGAGAACCGGAAGAAATTAGTTTAGGCCCGGACGCGGATTGTTTTGAAATCTTTACAATAGTCTTGAGGCTCTGATTATAATGGTATAAATTATTTCTTTCTCCTGTGGGCAGGTGGAAAATTTGTCTACGCGATTAAACTTTCCTTTTATATATAGACGGCTTTCTGCCGGGAATTTAAAACTTTTCTAAATAGCTGCCAATATTACAATAATCGATCAATAAATGACGATGTTATGAGCATATGACTTAACAGGTTCATATATCTGGAAGTATGGACTTCTCCATGAATGTAATATATTTTCGTGATCAGGGAGACAAGCTCTACCTATGGTAAAAATTTCAGAATTCCTCTAACGTATGCTGTTGTAGAAGTCAAGCACCATCTAAAGTACCGATCGGACCATTGTATTTTCCTACGATTTTTGAAATTCAGCAATGAAATATTTTTAAACCGTTTGAAGTTTTGATGACAAACATGTCATATTGAAGTCTATGTATAGACGGACTTCAACTGTTTTCAATTGATGCCGATATAGACTTAATTACAGTTATTGTAACCCTACTGCGATGTCTTATTACTATGAATTTAAAAACCATGAGTTATAGCCAACTTTTCCATTACAGACCCTCCCTTACAACACTCCACAATAGCCAAGAATGAAAACCATCAAATAATACATATCTACAACAATAAAATCCATTACAAATACAATAACTTCTTCAATTAATATTCATGACAACACCTTACCTCTTCATCTTTAACCAAATGACTTGGTTCGGCATTCTGAGTAATACCCAAGTTTGTGGCCAATTGTTTAACCACCGATACAGTCACTTCACGACCCGAGCTGGCTGGAAATTTATTTAGAACACTGCAACTTTGGGCCGCACAACTGTTTGCGGTTATTTGTGCGGACAATGATACCCATTCGCCATACATGTTGATGCATTAATAGATTCAATTGCCTTTTTAATGAACAAGAATAGTTTTGGAAATCAAATCAATTCCACTGGCAGCAGTACTTCTATGCTTCATATGATTTTCTCTCACTCTCGCAATACTCTCTTTGTTGTGGTTTGTTTATATTTTGCAAATGTGTCCTCACACTCTCTGTTTATAGCGGTACTTTTGTAAAGATTTATTATAATAACAATCCACTGACATCAATCAAACGTAAGGGGTGGGGGAACTCTACTCTATTTCATCTGCGAAGAGAGCGAGACAGAGAGAAAACATTCACACACACTGACAATTTTTTTCTTCTTCACATTCATTAATTTTAACAATTTTGTTTTGCTTTTTTACGGCTTTATTTCATATTTTCGTAGAGTATTTTATTCAATTTTGGAAATTTGTTGTTTGTAGTTGACTTTTCACTTAATTTTATTAAGATTTTTGCACAATTTTCTACATATTTTTATAAAATAAACTCCGTCTGTAAAATATACGCACAATTTTCTAGTTTTTCTGCACCCACTTGTAAACGTCAAATGTTACACAGTTGTATTGTGTTGTAGTATCGATGGGGATGGCAAATTGTGTTGTGTGCTAAGATATGGTACGTTTTCTAGTCAGAGTGGAGTAAAAATGTATTTTGATTTTTTTATAGATCTTGAAAAATATTCGTGTAAAAAATCATTCGCGCCTATTTTGATTTTAAAAAGAAACCACACCTATTTAGATAAGTCTTTAGAAGTACCATTAAAGAAAATCGCCTTTTTGGATAGGTCTTAAAAAAATTGTCTGTTCCCGTACTGCAAGAATCTACTAGATTTTACTATTTTCTTCAACATCTGATTTATTTTAGGCGAGTTTACTTGCGTCAATTTTTATAGTTCTCGTTTGAACTAGCTTTATGCGTCTATACAAGGCAATTCGGTTTCCAAAATATTTTTTATTTGTTTTTTACATTTAAATATATATAAAATGTTAACAAATACGAAATACACAAAACGAATTGCCAGAAAATTGTCAGTACGAGCAATTTTTTTCCATTAATATTCCCCTTGCCCCCTCTCCTACAAACAAAGACTTGCCGCAAGTAAACTCGCCTAGTCTAAATTAGGACAAAGGAAAATTCGTTATCGTAGTAAAAATTAATAAATTCTTACAGCACGGAAACAAACCAAATATTATTTAAAACCCCACGCCTATTTTGATAGGCCTCTAAAAAATGTTAAAGGGAAGACATATTATATACAGGGTGAGATAAAAAAACCGCGACAAAGTCAAACGCCATCATTTTTACATTTTTTAAAACTTTATTGAATGAAAGCAAAAAATGTCGGAAATTGCATCAAATTTTAGAATAAGCTTAGATTTGTTTGAATTGGTCACCTTTCGCACGAATTATGGCCTTCAAAGGAAACCGTCACACGCTACCCGAATGTTTCTCTGCGGTATTTTGGCCCGTTCCCGGCTTTGATATTTTTTGTGCCAGCCTTTCTTTCCAAAATACTCCAGACACAATAGTCCAACGGATTGGTAACCGGAGATTTTGGTGGTCATTGTGCGCTGGAAATGAAGCGAGGAACCTCATTTTGTAACCAAGGCCAAAATGTTTGCGTGTCCAAGGCTTTAATACACACTCCAGAATATTTTCGCGATAATATTTGGAATTTATTCCAATGCCACGGTCGATTAATACGAGCGGAAAGCGAAGTGCACATTTTCAGCTGACCTCTTTGACAAGTAAACACGAACATTTTATTTGTTTACAAACTGCTGGACAACGAATGTTTTCTCATCGGAAAAACCAAATTCGGCAGTTCACCATTTTCGGCCAAGCGAAGCAACTCTTTAGCTCTTTTGAGTCTATTTTCTTTCTGTTGCGGTTGCAAGAACTTATTCTTGCACTTTTTGGAATTTCAATGGCAGTTTAAGATGGGTAATATTGCAAGTGTCATCCGATTAATGAAAATCTCTACAGTAATGCTCTACATTGATAGCCTCCCACATCGTTCCCGAAGCCTTGCGTTGCAGATCATCAACAAAGATTAGGGTGACCATCATTTAGTGGATAAAACTCACCCAGGCGTGTCAGAAGAAAATCCGAAGATATAAAAGATGTCTATCGAGCAAGTCTGAATAGTATTTCAGTAATTTCTCTTAAAAAATGTTTATTCTGCAGAATTTATTTAATTTAATATATTTAAAACATAAATAACATCCTAGGAAGTTCAAAAAATAAATTCAATAAAAAAAATGCGGAAAATTATTCATTATCCCATGCTAAATTGTTGGTAGGAAGATTTGGCGCCCAACGAGTACAAAATTAGAGCCAATTCAATTAAAACATATGCCCCAATTACCGACAGCCCACACATCCTAAAAAGTGGACCCATATAGATCATTTTTGGTAGGGATATGTCTACCCAATGGGAACTTAAAGTATCAAATTACAGCCAATTCCGTTAAATAGCGACCGTTAATAAAGTTGTTAATTTTGTAGGAAGATTTGTTACGCGTAGGAAATCGAGTCAACCCGCAGTGCCCTCAACAGCAAAACACGCAGCAAATAACATCATATACAGCTGTTCCGTGCCTATAAAATGTATCGTTCTTGCAGTTCAACTGCGATGTTCTCCGCAACAAGATCTGTGAAATTGTGGAGTTATGAGTGGAAGAAGATTTATGGTCGGTAACAATTGTTACCAAATGTTACTTTATGTTAATCCAAAGTTTATTAAAATAGAGCGAAACCCAAGAGCTAGTTTGACACCAGGTCTATAAATAAGGTCGTCCAGGGAGAACAGCTTGATATCTGCTGCTTCTCAAGTATGCTGCCAAAATACAATATTGAGAATTGACTTCCATAATGAAAACGTAAACAAAGGCCAACATTTGACAGCTGGGTATTAGTAGAACTTGGTTTGACAGTTGACACCAATTTGCCACTGAACACATGATATGCGTACAATTCGAAGAAAGATATTTTCATTTAAATTTTGAAAGCTGAATGTTGTCAAAAGCAAATTCATGAAAAAAAAAAATGGAAATATATAACATGAGACTACTTTGTATAATACGGCATATACATTAGAACTTTTTACCGGGTTAACCTACTTTATGAGGATTATGGTCTGTTCCCGTACAGCAAGAATCTACTCTATTTTACTATTTTCTTCGATATCATAAAGGAAAATTCGTTATCGTAGTAAAAAGTAGTAGATTCTTGCAGTACGGGAACAGACCATTAATTTGGCATATATACAAAGGAATTGACAATTGAAATCCACTGGGTTAATGAAATCCGGTTAAATGTAAACGTACTATAATTATGCCATGGACACATATGGTGTGTTCCCGTACTGTTATAGTACGGAAACAGACCAATGGTTCCTTTTGCCAATATGCATTGAATCACTTGCTGAGTCGATTTATGAATGTGCGTCCGTCTCTTGATGTTAAATTGTAAACAAAGTACAGGTCGCATTTGTAATCCCATTTGAATGAGATTTTGTACAGCTCATTTATTTGGCCCAAGGACGAACCCTATTGAAATTGGGAAAAAATCTGTTCAGATTTAGATGTAGAACGGCATATACATTAGAACTTTTTACCGGGTTAACCTACTTCAGGAGGATTTATTTGACATATATGCAAAGGGATTGACAATTAAAACCCACTGGGTTAACGAAATCCGATTAAATGTAAACGTACTATAGCTCCCATATATATTTTCGTCCGATTTTAGGTAAATGGTACACCAAATCCTGAAAATCATTCGAATTTTGGCATAGCGTACAAAATTAAGTCTAGAATGTTCTTAGTTCCGTGAATATCGGTTCATATTTAGATGTAGCTCCCATATATATTTTCGTCTGATTTTATGTAAATGGTGCACCAAATACCCTATATATCTTTCGATTTACACGAAATTTTGTATGTCGTACTGAATTAATTCTAGAATGACGTGTGTTAAGTTTCATGGAAATTGGTTCAAATTTAGATATAGCTCCCATATATATTTTCTTCCGATTATAGGTAAATGGTGCACCAAAGTCCCTATATAACTTACGATTTGCCCGAAATTTGGCATAATATACGGAATTGATTCTAGAATGTGTGCTAAGATTCAAGGAGATCGGTTCAGATTTAGATATACCTCCCATATATATTTTCGTCCGATTTTATGTTAATCGAGCACCAAAATCCCTATATAAGTTACGAATTGCAAAAAATTTGGCATAGCGTACTGAATTAAGACTAGAATGATGTGTGTTAAGTTTCGTAAAAATCGGTTCAGTTTTAGATATTGCTCCACTTATAATTTCTTCCGATTTTATGTAAATTGTACACTTAAGACCCAAAGTTTGTACGATTGACACACAATTTTGTACAATATACTGAAGTTAATATATCTTAATCTCTAGCAAGTTTCGTTGAAATCGGTTCAGATTACAAGCGGTATTACCTTCTTCATCTGTAGAATATTTTCTACTAATACTAAGTAGATTATTTTGTCCTAATTCCCTACATTTGTAATTGATTTCATTTCCATATTTTTTCCAAAAACTATTACTT